ACAGCAGCACCGCTGTATAAAAGCAAATGAGCTGTGTACTGTTTTGTCGTATACTTATTCAGCTAATACCCCACAACATCCCCAACTACGTTGACCCAGCTGTCGACACACACTGAGCTGTAGAAACCGTACCACAGAAGAGGGAGGAAACCACAATGTAAGAGCCTATGCAGAACAGGACAGAAGATGATGGGCTGGGAGAAAGGTAGAGCCCCACAACCCTTTCGTGATCTGCTAGCAGCAGCACAGAACAAGCAGCACATTGTGGCAACGTCGCGTTCGCACTGTCACCCTCAACCACAGTGACAGCAAGTGGAGCTTCATTTCTCTGCGTCTTCCCAGTTCTACCCACTTTGATACTGAAGCACAAGCAGGAGGAGATACCTCCACGCTTAAGGAGCACAGCTACTGCACGGGGAATGCCTGGGAGCTGCAGCGTAGTTCAGTGGTCAGCACATGGGTCCTGACAGAGGAGCGAGCACAGGGGACAAAGCTGGAGGGGTGCAGGTCCTGGATCCCCCTCTGCCCACAGAAGTGAGTACTGTTCGATGCTGAGGGTCTTCTGCTGAGGTTAGTTCACTACCCAGCTCTTGTGACCTCGGGGAAGGCATTTTATCTCTGTGTCTTCATTTTTTCCTCCATCTGCACAGCAAGGGAGAGCCCGTTCCCACCTCAGAGCGTGCAACATCTGACTGATGAGCAAAGTGCTTCAAGATCCTCCCTCACTGCTCACGTGCTCAAACCACCAGCTCCCCAGGCCTCCTCACCGTCCCTTGCGCTGGCACGTGGTGGCCACCCGAGCCCCCCACAGACGTGTGTTCAGAGACGCAGCAGCAAACAGAGACGGACAGGGAGGGAATAAAACTTCACCAGGGAGAGGAACAGCAAGAAACAGACCGAGGCGCTCCCAGAACTACAAAGCATCACAGCAGAGACATGGCCACCACCCCAGAGCTACGCAGCCCCCTGCCAAGTCCACAGACCCCAGTCCATCACATGACAAAAGCCCAGTCCCTCATCCTCCCCCAGCCACCCCCAGGCCTGCTGTGTGCATGCTACAAACACAAATAACTTTTTTTATTTTTTAAACCTTGCATTTTGCACACTCACAGCAGCCGCCCCAATCCACAGCAGCCCCCAGGTTGGCCCGACCTCCTAGGTGGGCCCCAGAGATGGTCCAGGTGGTGTTAAACCAGGCACAGGTCTGCCTGTCCCCAGCAGAGGATTATCACTCTTCATCTTCCAGATGAAGCCTTCCACCTCAGCACCTCATCTCCTAACCCTAAAATCAGGTCAAGGAGCCTTCTGTCCTTCTACCCACCATGGGCTGGAAGAGGCAGCGCTCGCCACGCAGGACCGTCTCAGGCGGTGGGGCTCAGCTTGTCCAGGGGACCTTCTAAGCCAGGGCCACCACAGCAAGCAACAGCGATACCCCAGGTCCCCTTTCTGGCATGGGGTGGGGGGAACGACACAGCCTGGCTACGGCAACCAGAACCGAGACATAAAAAGCACTTTACACTGTGGTCATGTTATCCCCTCGTCCCTCCCCCTCATCCCCTTTGGAGCTTCTTAACTTCAGAAACCTTCCTCCAGAGGAGTGTTGGAGTGACAGAAAACATTTTCCAAGCCTAATATCAGTTCCAGATGTTCACAGCCATTTCAGTTTGTACCTCACCCTGTAAAACACATTTCTCCCTCTTCCTCTCTCAAGCGCAGCGCCTGCTTCATCCATGACATAATGCGCTGGCGGGCTCGGCCGCGCACACACACACGCTTGCGCCCTCTTCGAGAGCCCCATGTTCAAACAAAGAGCATCACTCAACTACAAAGCTGTCGCACACATGGAGTTATGAGTAATTTCCACAAGTTTTAATAAACAGGTTGGGATGTAATTGCTCTCCATCTTCTCTGCTGGCTCCCGAGCGGAGAGCCACTAGCTCCTCGCACGTTGGTGTTGAAAGCGTAGTTTGTTTCGCACACAAGTTCGCCTCCTATTAGCCTCAGATGGTCCAAGGGCTGTGTTTTTCTAAGCACCAGTAATAAGCCTCTTTAAAAACCACGTACAACCAGGGGCAGCCGACCCACGCGAGCTCCCGGCTCCCTCTGCCCCGTCCCGCAGCATCGCCAGCCCACGCGGAGCCCGGCAGGGAGCGGAGGGTACGCACGTTAAACCAGCCTCAAAACTCCTTCCTGACTCTGCTCCAAGAATAGGAACAAATAGTTTCTGGTTCAAGTGAAAGGCTTCGCCTTCCAGCTGCAAAGCATGGGGGAGGCCAAGGAGTTTTGCAAAGGTGAGAGACTGAAGGCTTTTGGGGGGCAGGAGGGGAGCAGAAGGCAGGGTAGGCAGGTACCACCTAGTTTGCCATGGGGCTGAAGAGCAGGTTGGCACAGCTCTAGCCACAGCCAGTGGCAGGAATCCCAATAAGAAATGGCTGCAATTAAACAAACAAAAAACCCTGGTCAAGCACAAATAACCCAGATGCTTGAATTCAAAAGATCCAAGGGATGAATGACAGCAACCTCAAGAGTCCTCAAACCTTACAGGATCCTCCTAGTCCGGCGCTGCCATGCTCTGCAGATACCCGTGGTGCACCTCACAGCGACGGGAGCAACCTACTCCTACCTGCCAGCAGCCCTGAGACTGATGGGGAAGGAAGAACTGCCAATATCCACCAAAAGCCATCCAAATTTCATATCCCACGCCCTCCTCCCAAGGCTTCCTTCTTCTAGGGTTGACTTATTTTTTTTGTGGATGCCGCTCAGATGCAATGGAGATGTGCTGCAGCATGATGCGTGGGCAATGGTGGCGAGGGGATACCCATGGTAGGATTTTTGGCCGGGTGAAGCACAGTACCAAGCAAAGCCTTTAAGAGCTGTACCAGTCAGCATCTCTGCAAACCTACGCAAGGTATTTTCAAGAATCAAGTCATCTGGCATTAGGGGCCTGTAGGGTAAGAAAGGAATGAAGGCAGGAATGTTGTTTCGTTATAAACAACATTGAAAAAAAGGGAGAGATTTAGCATTGGCTTTTCTCTTTAATTGTTAATGGGGTCATTCTGTCCCAAATGGTCCCCCAGAGCAGGGAGAGGGGAGGGCAGCTCCCCACAATGAATTCAATTGCCTGTCAAACACATGGCAGTCATAAAAGGAAAATAATAATAATAATCTGTATTTCCTACGCTGGCTGCCAGGCAAAGATCCAGCCACTTCAAAGGAGAAACCCCACGTTTCCCCAGTCTGGCCTCACCTGACCGATGTGTGAGCAATCTGGAATCCCCATGCAAAACAAAGCCCCTCCTTTGGTGCCTTGTTTTCTTTCTCCATTACTGAAGGGTGACCCTCCAAGATAAAGAACAAGCCTTCTTCCACACCGGGAAACTAGAAACATAACCGAGGGGCCGTGGCCGCATCAGGTAGCTCTGGAAGTGGATGCTGACAAAGCGTAGGAGAAAGCGCCCGTGGGACAGGACTGGTGTATGAGCCAGGAACCAGAGCTCCTTCTCGCAGGGGTCGCCACAAACAGCTGGGGCCCCCCAGGATGTGGGGCTCTGGCTCTCTCCAGCAGGAAAAGTCCAGCTTTTGTAGCACAAAAAATTTGGATATGGTGGCAAGAGAGGCTGCAGAAGCAGAGTAGATGGGCCTGAGATAAACAGAGAGGGTGAAAATTTCCCTGGAGTGGTTTGCTCTGTGGTGGCTCATGGCAGCAGAGGGCTTGGCTCAGAGGGTCTTACAAATTAGCGAGGCAAAGAAAAAAGCCATCACCACAAGCTGAGAAAGCTTCCGAGCAAGACCTAAGGACTGCCTATGTGCAACTCCCGATCAGGCTCTGAATGATCTTCCTGAGATCACCTTCCCAACAGAAAAACATGGACAAGTGCCTTGCCAGGATGTCTGGGAAGTCCCTGCCAGGCTGCAGCGAGGTTCCCCCCTCCAACACCAGCCCCGTCCCCACCTTCAGTCTGGTCCCTTGTCCTTGCAGGCAGCCAGGACACGCACGCCTCACATAAGCCGACCGGGCTCCACCTTAAAGCAAACGAGGTTTCTAATCACCCAAGGCGGCTGTTGCAGAGCCTTGCTCCAATAATGGGTGGAAATCCTCTTCCTGCGTTTCCTTACCGGCAGGGCTGAAATTCGGTACTGCCAGTGTCTGGGGGAAGGGGCCCTTCGCACAAAGGTAAATCTCTGCTTTGGTCAACACCACTGCCTGCCCTGACACATCACCTGAGCTTTAACAAACTAATCCAAAATCCTCAACCACAAAGCAGTAGGAAGTTTTGCCTGGCTTTCCATGCAGCAGTAGCATCACTCATGGTCTCAAGTGCTACTTACTGAAAACCACCATCGATTCACCCAAATCAAACCCCTTCCTTCACACCCCTCTACCTTGCCCAGCAGCTCCTGGAGCACGGCTTGAATTGCTGACAAAGCTTTTGCAAGGCACAGAGCTCTTGGTCCCAGCTTGAGCTGGGAACCAAACTCCAACCCAGGGAAGTTTCAGGTTCCCCTGGAGATGTTTTGTACTGCTTAAAAGATCCCTCTACATATTGCAGGCTTCAAGTTACTTCGATAGGTGTGCAAGGCACCTTAAAGAGTCCTTTCAAAGGCTGGCGTGCAATGCAGAACTCACTGGAACGGACCAACAAAGCCCTTGAGTTGTTGAGTGCTGACCTTCCTCCCACACCCACCCTACAGCATTTCAGACCGATCAGATCAGTCGCTTCAGTCAGAAGCTCCAACTCACAGCTCTCCTGCCCAAAAGAGGCAAATCATTTCCTTCTGCCATGCTGCGTTTTTGTATTTCTCCTTCCCCTCAAATACTCGTGCCTGCAGAAGCCTTCAGAAACCTCTCCTGAACGGGGCTGTTTTGATACCTCACCTAACACCTTGGCTCTGTGCACCATTCTCCACAAAAGCAGCCTCTCCCCGCCAGGCGGGACGCAGGACACGTCACCGCGCACCCTCTGCGCCGACAGGAGCTCGCCCTCGGCAGCTGTACCCACCTGTGTAAAGGTCCGTATCCGTGTACTCATCCACCTTCTTGTGCTGCAGGACGTAGTCAGACACCTTCGTCCCAATGGCAGGCTGCACGTCCAGCCACTCCAGAGACACCACAGTGCTGGAGGGCTCCACGCTGGGGGAGAGCCGCAGGCTGGGCAGGAGACAGGAAAGAAACCAAAGAAGACATCAGCTCCCTCTCTGGGGAGGAATCCACCTCTACAAGCAGCACAACCCCAGGCAGACCCACGAGGACAGGGGACACAAGGGGAAAGCGGGTAGGTGAGCACAGAAGAACTTCCAGGTGAAGTTCAGGTGGGTGCAGCCCATGCCCTTACCTCCCCCTGCTCCTCTAAGAGCCCACATCATGCAACTGCAATGGTGCAGCCCCAAGTATCCCATCTACAGGAATCTTCGTCTCCTGGGAGAACTACTGAACTGCAGCAGCCCTGGGGGAAACTGAGAATCAGCTGCCCACGAGCAAAAGAGAAGGGGAGAATCCAGCTTCATCTTTGTGCAACCCAACAGGGTGGAATCTACAGAAGGGGAGGGTCTGGTCTGCATCGCCAGCGAGCAAAGGCGAGGGAGGGCAGGAGGGAGAGAAGGGGCAGGTGTGGCTGGGAATTTACCCAGCTGCAAACGAGCAACTCCCCCATGGGTGTGAGCAAAAGCAAATGCAGGGCAGCTGTGCAGGAGCTTTGGCCCGGATGAGGGACCATGTGGGTAGGGGTGAAGGCAGAGTGGCTTCGTGCTCCTGGCTGTGCTAGCACAAAGGTGTCCGCTGCTCCTCGCACCGCTGTAAACGACAGCGCCGAGTACAGGGCTACGGAGAGCCCGGCTCCAAACATACGAGCGTGTTTGTTGAACTCAGGATGGGAAATGAATCCCCTCTGAGGATACTGGCTCGCTAAGAAGGTGTTCTGCTCCTTGTGGATCGCTGGAGCCAGTCTTCCTGCTTTCTCAGCTAATTCCCCATCAGTTTGCTCCTGATTTGTTCTTGCTCTGACAAGCCACAGTGAATTGCACTGTAATTCCATTTCTGTCAGCATTTGAAATCCCATTCTACAAGCCCTGCTAATCAGGTGATGAAAATCTATAAGGAAACCTTCCCGGGCCACAGCCGGAGCCAGGATATCCTAAAGGCATCAGTCACGCAGTAAGGAGCGCTGGACCGCGGCCCCGGGGCTCGAAGGCAAGAGGAAGGAGGTGTCCGTGGGCCGAGCCTGCGGGAAAGGGGCTGGTGCCGGGGGGCCGTGACCCGCGGG